TAATAGTATTTTAAAAGTATATTAAATACTTTTTTATTCGAATACTATTATTAGTATCTTAATACTTTTTCTAAAGTATTGTTTACAAACTGTGTTTACGGTTAGACACGTAGGTAGACATAAGTTTCAGTGCGAATTCGCAGTAGCCTGCCAGATCTAAAATTCCGTGGCCGGATAAAATAGTCGCCTAAACGTAAACCCAAATTTAAAAATGACAAAATAAAAAAGTTTTCATACAATTTAAAAAAACGTGTTATATTATTATAGATTCATATTATATATTATATATATTATATATAATAATATAATAATATATATTTATTATTATAATATTATATAGGTACATAAATATGGAAATAATTTATAAAATATATGTTAAAAACATGGAAATACCTGTATGTTGTAAAAAAGTTTCAATTTCTGTACAATAAAATTGTCGAAAAAATATATTACATATAATAAAAAAAAAAATTTCAAATTATGTCCGCCATTAAATAATTAAATTATTTTTAAAATTGTTGAATGTTAAATATCGCTTAATAAGCCTCAAAATGTTTTTAAAACGATTAAAATGATCGTTCCAAATCAACCGATGATATTGGAACATATTTAAGCGCATAATATCTGAAGGTGATAACTCCAAAGTTTTAGAAAGGTGACTCTAAATTAATTAATATCAATAAAGCCTGGATTTTTTTCTATAACGGTAAGAATTTTCGTTTTTACAATACCTCATATTTGCTAAATTACGAGATTTAATTTTTCTATCGCTGATTCGAAAATGTGCAGTCTATCACTTATGGACACACTTTTTGTTTCGAACGTTACAATTGTAGGCGTAATTAAATTAAAATTCAATGAGATGACAAGCAAATCAATGTTTCGAGGTTTTCACTGTTTCAATATCGCCGCGAGTATCGTGCCCTTGGTTGTTAATATGAATATTGGCTCAAAAAAACTTGTCATGCGAGACAACGGTAGCAACGGGTAAACATCGAAAATCCCTAAATAAAAATAACCAGCGACGAAAGTTTTTCGATTGTCTCATTTGATATACCGCGTTGACGTGGAACGTTATTGTTTGCGCTCTTGCTGATATTTTCTTAAATTTCATCCGAACGCAACAGAAATGGACACGTTTGTATTGGAGTACTTCCTTAAAAGGATATTAAGAGTGGAGAAGCCGATGACGGACTGCCGCCGACACGTTTCCCGCGATAAATTCGGAACCAACGAGCTGATGATCGAACCGACCACGGGCAGGTGGTTCGGAAAGTGCGCCACGTGCAAGCGTAGACGCGTGTACTCGCGCATGGTGCGGTGCTTTGGTACGTTCGAACATGCGTTTGCGTAGTGGCTGCCTTCGGTAGTGCACCCCTACGCGCAGTTTTAACTTATGATTTTCCATGTCCTCGTAACAGAATGCCAATGGTGCCACAAGGGTTGTGCGATTCGGGTGGTGGAACGCGGTGATGACCGGCTGCTCTCGGCCGACCGCGACCGCGACGTTGGTCGTTCGTTTGCCGACGCTTCTACAAACACGGAACCGGCCACGGTTGTCGGTACCGCGGTCACGTGGAATTCTGCTACCAACGTGCACGATGAAAAATCGGCCGCTGCGAATCTCACCGACGAGGTTGTAACCGACACGGTGGTGTCTTGGGGTTTCGCTACTGAAGTGAACGACACAGATTCGGTCGCCGCGATTCTTGTCGACGAGGTAGTAGGCGACACGGTGACCATGATTGTC